CTGGAAAAAACTAGAAACAAGACTTTCTTTAAAAATGTTTTAAATTATCAGTCGACGGAGGACAGTGTGAGCCTTTGCCGAACAAACAAACGTAAGTTATTGTTATTTATTGTGAGAACTGCCAGTTCATAGTGGGACGAATATTTTGATCTTAATAAAAAACAACCCTATGCCCTGCGGCTCCTGTGTGCTGATGGCGCAGCGGGAGCTGGACAAACGCAGCCTCAAGAGCTTGTTTTAACATGGAGTAGAAAGTCGCCTCGGAGTTAGCTGCCTGGGCTCCACGCGGGATTCCGTGACTGGCGCGCGCCCGGCGCGCCCCCGGCCCGGTGCTGTGGCGCCTACGGGACGGGCGGGCGGGGATTGGGCGCCGACGGGGCGGGCCCGGTGGGGATTGGATGCCCGCGGGGCGGGGCGTACTCATCTCAGGCGGGGACTCTGGAGGCTGAAGCCCGAGGTTGGGGCCCCTGAGTTTGGGCGCGAAGCCCACCGCATTGCGATGACTGCTCCGCTGCTGTCTACGGCTGGGCTCGGACGGCGGGTGGTGTCCACGCTGCGCTCCTGGGGCCCGGGCTTCCACTCGTGGCGGCACTTCGCCTGGAGCCCTGCAGTCTTGCCTTTCCGCGGAGCTTGGAGGCCCGCCCGGGCCTGGACGATCCCTGGCGTCCGCCACTCTAGGTAGATCCGGCGACCGTGAGGACTCGTCCTCCGCGTTGTCCTCTGAGTGGATGCGCGACGTGATCAATCTCGTGCATTTATTAATTCCCCCGTCTAGACAGCCCAGAAGGCCGGGCGGCGGCTCCTTATCTACGTTTGGCATCACCTGCAAATGATACACTGAAGGAGCCACCACAAGCCCCCGCTAGGATCGCGGCTGCTGGAGAAAATAAGTCCACCCAGAACCAGTCTGGCGTGTCCTTGGTTTATTTTCTTTCCAGACCCGAAATGGAGGGGGCGAGGGGGTGGTCTCTGCGTATGCGGTGCCCAGGTCACTTGGTGTGACATTTCAAACCCCTGCGACTTGTTTTCTTGAAAACTGGCTTTAATGATTGCAGGAAATAACCAAGAGATACTGAATCTCCAGCAGGCCCCCGGGCAAGCAAGAAGGGGGAAAAAAAACCTGGCAGGCTCAGGTTTTACTCTCTTAAAAATATTTAACCCTTTGGCAGTCTGCAACACTTCTTTCCCAAGGTTCTTACTTGGTGAATTCAAAAAGCTGCTGGGTGACCAGGCAACCCACCACTCCTGCAAAAAAGCTGTGACATTATCTCTATGTCCTTGCCCCAAGAGTAAAATGACTCTAGAGTTAAATGACTTCCTTACTGAAGGTTTGTTCTGAAAGAGGGTAATGCCCTAACTAGGCAAGGGACAGCTGCCTTCCTTAGCTTGGGTAGGCTAAAGAGAAAAACAGGTGCCCAAGGGTCAGCTGCAGGATAGAGGAGGAGGTACCACCCCTTAGAAGTAGCTTGTGTGGATGGCCACTGTAGGTATTTAAGCAAAGCCTTTAGTAGGATTCCTCACAGCCATCCATCCCATAACCCCACCATTGAAAGAAAATGAGAAGAGGTGGGAAGATTGAACCCTGTTTACATATTTTACTTCCTGAAAGTCAAGGTGATGCTAGCACAAACACAGAAGAGGCATCCCCCTTCCCCATCTTAGGGATTTAGGAAATGGTGCTGCAAACCTAGATAAGGGAAAGAGATATACAGAGCTAATGAGGACCAGCTTCACTTCTCAAGTGCTCAGAAACGGTTTTAACAGTCAAGGCTGGGTTCTTTGAGGATTCGTTCCTTTAACTTAGACCATTCCCTTTCAGAAATACGGATTTCTCCTTTTTGCATCCAGCTGGCTATTGGGTAGGGAACTAAACTGCAATAACTGTTCTTACTTTTGAAAACGTTGATTATCCAGAATATTGGGTTTTCACTTTTTATTTAAAAGGAAGAGTCTTAAATAATTTCATTGTTAACACTGGATTTTTGTTTTATCAGATTGTAGTAGAAACAGAAGCATCTACCTACCTAATTACAATGATCCTTCTCATCATTCATAGATTTTTAAAAAACAGTTCATCTTTGATATTTCCGTCTTTTATTAACACTGGGAAATCACACATATAAAAGTGGTTACTGTGGATTAAGATGCCAGTATTTTGATGTATGAGACATCACAAGCCTTTTCTTTTCTTATGCACCCAAAGGAATGTGTCATGTTCTGTTGAAATCTCCAGAGAAAAAGCTTCCAATTTTCTTGGTGAGGTATCAGATCTATAGTTGGCTAGTTATATTAGTAAATATCATTTTACTAGTTCCCAGGTCATCGTTAAACATCTTTGTAACGCAGTAGGGATTTCCTGGTAAATTAAATTACCTGTGGCAATACCGGTTCTATTTTATGCTAACTAACCTTTTAAGGAGATAGATACCCAGATAGGTAGTAAAATCTCAGCTCAAGGAAAGAAGACATAGGTGGGAAACGGGTTATTTAGCTTGATTCACTTCAGAGTTAAAAAGTTTCTCAGCAGACTTAAGGCTTAAGCTCTATGAAGTTGAAGCAGAAAAGGGATCCCAGAGAGATAAGTTTGGGCTACAATACTTCAATTCGATACATATTTAAGGCTGCCTAATTCTGGGAAATTCAGAGTCCCTATGGCAGCATTGCCAAAGGATTTTAATGAGTGTGGAACAGTTGTGAATATGGAGTTTTAAGCTCAATTTTGTCAGAGCTGAGAAGACTGGGTTTAAATGAGACATTGTTCTAGACTGTCCCCTAAAAATGTGAGATTCTGCCACTGTAGCCTAGGGGAGGGCTTAAACTGCCATACAGTCCACTGTGTTTCCCCCATGTTAGAGTTCGCCAAAGAGCAGCAATAGCTGAATAGGGCCTGCTGGAAGGAGAAAACAATGGATGAATAAGTATTTGCAGAGAAGTAAGTTTCCATTGGGGCTATGATAAAAGCAGGAAATTCAGAGTTTATTAAGGTGATGCAGAGGTTAGAGGCTTTTAAATGTGGTTCTGATTGATGGAAAAGTAAACTCTCTTGAAAATACTGAGATTCAGTGCTATAATGAGGATTGTGTGGCCAATTACAGACTAGCACCTTGTTGATGGAGACTGCATGGAAAACAGAGCTAGGTTGAGAGCCCTAATGGGAGGCGGAGAGGGCACAAGGAAGTGCTGCACGGAGAGCCAGATGTGGGGTTGGCAGCTTCGCTCCTGAAGCTAGTTTGGGGTTCCAGCAGCAATCCTCTATTTAGGCGGGAGTGCTAGGTGGGTCCAGCTTTTGGCCACAGAACCAAAGAAGGTCAGCAGCTGGAGGGAGAGGGGTTGGGAAGTGGACGCTGGAGTGGGCAGGAGTTTGGAAGCCTCAGAATCTATCTGTTGGAACCCTGGAGGTGTAGGTGAAGGTGTGGTTTGAATATAGAGGGACGGGGTCCCCAGGGGCTGGAGCTGAGGGACCAGAGCCTTGCGGGAAACGGGAAGAATAGGGACCCAGAGGAGCCATTTCCTCCCGGAGGGTCAAGGCCGGAGACTCGCAGGAGGGCGGGCCTGGAGCCCAGGAAATGGCCCAAGTGGTTTGCACAACTATACTGTACGATGGAGACAGGGGTTAAGGTCGGGGGCGGGGGTGGGAGGGACGGCCGAGTTCTGAGTTCAAGGTCAGAATGCGGGCGACTGCCAGTGTGGGGCTGGCGGGCTCGAGAACTGGGCCGGGGGCGGCGGCCCTAGAGCCCATTGGGATAACCAGTTCGCAGAGCGTGGGAGAAACGAGCTGCGGGCCCAGACGCGGGCTTAGGGCGTTCGAAGGCCACTGCTCCCAGGGCCTCGAGCAGCTTTTCCTTTGGTACGAATTCTAGGCTCACACGTACTTTCCCATCCGCGTCTCGCCAGGGAGGACCGTCCGCGAGGAAAACTTGTGGCCGGGAAACAGATTCGCCACGCGGTGCCTTCGCTCACCAGGGCGCCGCTCTCCCTTCAACCCAAAGAATCCCCAAGGGTCCGAGGTGCCCCCCCCCCGCAAGGCTCGGCCCGCGCTTTCCTGGAGCTGGGGACCTCAGGGCCGCGGCGCCCAGGCTTCGCACCCTCCGCTCCCAGCGACAGGGGCAACGAGACATTCAATTAAATGTTTAATTGCGAATTCTTCTACGGGTTCTAGGAGGTTAATCCCAGCTGTCTCGATTATTTATGGCTTTTTGGCAAATTTCCGACCAGATAAGAGGCATATTCTATAGCGAAGCGTCCTGCAGGAAATCTTATAAATACTGGGTTCCTCTCTGCTACACGGACCTGTGCCCACGCCCGGGGCCAGCGGGACTCGGAGCTCCTCCGGACCCCGCCCGCCATCTGCCTCCTCCTTCCCTGCAGGATCCGCGGCCGCGGGTGGCCCCGGACTGGCGGCGGGGCGAGTTTGGGGTCCCGCGGCCTCCACTGCAGAGCGACCTCGGGGAGTCGGATCAGCGGTCAGGAGCAGAGGCTTGGGGGCCAGCGCAGCCCGGGAAGAACCCGGGGCCGGCGGGGCAAGTCCAGTGCCCTGGGACGACTTTGCATTTTCCTTCCGTTGAAATCAGACCTTTCTTTCTTTCGATTTGTAAAGAAGTGAAAATTGAATATATATAACTCGGCAGCACCACGAAATGCCCGGTTTAGGTAAATTTGCTCTTTTAAAAAGAAGCTGGGTTTTTTATTTTTTTTATTTATTTTTTTTATTTTCCAGTTTGTCTGCGATAATCTTTAGGGGTTTGGGTCAATTTTGCACAACCAGATCTTTTTTCTTGGTCATGCCCTGCTGCTTACTGGGCAGAAATTATTACTGACGTCAGCGGGTGATGCTCGACACTGACCAGCAGCTTAAGAAAGGGCGAGATCACCACACTGAAAAGGCCCAGGTCTCCTAGGGCCATCCACAAAGGCCACAATCGTTTGAAACTTATTCAGAGCCACTTGTACTGTGGTGTTGCGCATGTCAATGGTTTAAGAAAATACTCCCAGATGATTGATGCTTTCAGATCAAAGAGTTTTATTTTGGAGAATAAATTTAGCTCTGCAACGTTAATAAGCTTTCGGTGCTATCTGCCAGGGAAGGCAGACACATGCATACCGTGCCCTGAATTAACTTCAGTCTCAAAACATATTAAGCAATTTGTATGAAAAAGTGTTAAAAAGTTCTTTACTCCAAACTTTAATGAAGATACTTCAAGAGTTGAAATTGAGACTTCTTTCAAATTTGTATTGCCTTAACATGAAAAGCCAACACTGAAAACAATTACAAGAACAATACTTGCTAATCTTACGTCTAATTTTACCCATATTACAAACGAAAATTACATATTATCATAGTATAGAAGTAAACAAACTCCAAAATACTGTGCATAAATGAAATAAACTCAACTTGGAAAATTCAGAAGAACATTAAGATATCTACAGTCATTGTAAATAGTGCAAAGAATGTACCAACCACATCTACAGTGCACCGAGAGCACAGACATGAGAGAGTTCCATCAGGAACAGTTCAAATGTTTGTCTGAACAGTTAAAAATATTAACAAAGGTACTCAAATACAGAATCAGCCAAAACATTTATTTTTTCTCTTTTTTCAAGAAAAATTGCCGCGCTTCTTCCCAGGCCTGCTGAGGAAATCTGTTAGCCAGCTCCAGATAGTCCCGGGAATCAAGGCATTTTCCTGACAGGAACAAAACAGAGATTAAAGAGTCTAACAGTTAAACTATTTGGAAAGTTTAGAATCTAAACTTAGTTGAATCTGGGCACAAATAGAGTCATGCATTTCAAATAAACCTTGCTGCATTCTATGTAAATAAGGTGATTGGTAATCTTTATATCTATCTATAGATACATAAACATGTATTTTTAACCACAATTCAGTTTGTGCTTCTAACATATTCAGACATCTACCTAAAAGGTAAAAAACATTTTTAGAACTCCACAGTGAGGAAACAATCAAGGGAAATAGGTACAGTGAACATAAAAAACGACAGCTATACACTCTAGCCTTTGAAAGGGTGAATCTATATGTGAACGGTAATTATTTTTTGGTTCTGGGGATTGAACTCAGGGCTCTGTACATAAGGCCCAGCTCCACCACTGAGCCACACATCCAGCCCAAATGGTGGTTTCTTTTTTCTAAAAGAATCTATTTAATTTAAGACATGAATTTAACTTTGAAAGTGTTCAAATTTGGCGTTCAGTTGCTATTGAACAGAGCAGAGGCAACGGTTGGCAGCTTTACTGTACTGGCCAGTCTAAAAGCTTGGGGCAGTCATGGGGCAGTGGGTAACTGAAAGCCAAAATTCCTCCTCCACAGTAAGAACTGGGGATTCACATGTAAGAGGTTTACCTGGGCAATGAATTAAAAATGTGACCAACTTTATGAAGACTTAATCTAAGCCAAAAGGGAAAAGATGTCCCAGGTGAAAACTGGATAGTTTGTAAGGTACTGTTGTCACTTTAAAAAAATTATCTTTATTATTTTCAATATTTTTTTATTTATTTTTATGTGTATGTGTGTACTGCTATTTTAAATTATGTGTACGCATGTGTCTGTGTGTTGGTATGTACACTTGAGTGCCAGTACCCTAGGAGGCCAGAGGTGTTAGATTCCATGGAGCTGAAGTTATAGGCAGTTGTTGGTTGCCCTGGAGGTTCTGGGAACCAAACTTGGTCCTCTGCAAGAGTAGCAAGCTCTCTTAACCACTGACATCATCTTTTCCTTATTCAAATAAGCATATTATTAACTGTTACTAACAGTGTTGACTCTGGGGTGAAGTGGAGAACAACTGCCCCTTTGCTGTTGTATGGGTAAAGGTGGCTGTAACTAACACAGCATGGGAATCAAAGATGTTCCCTGGGAGAAGAAAGAAGGTTGAGACTTTCCCAGTCCTCAGCCCAAAAAGCAGATGGAGACAGCGTCTGGGACTTGGCCTTCCAGAGACTCAGTAGATGGTGACTCATCTTTTTTTGGGCAGAAGAAAGGGTAAGAAGAAAGAATGTCTACACAGTTTTGACTGGCAAAAATATTGCTGCTCAATTGAAAATAAATACATTAGAAGATTCTTCTAAGTACTTTCAAATGTTCAAAATCTAAACAATTGTTTTGTAAGAAATAATAACAAATGGTGCTGATTTCTTTCAAGTGTAGCTTAAAAAAAAAAGGTTGTGCTTGAGTCAGGCAGAACTGAACTTGCACACTAACTCTGGCTTAGACAAATGGTGCCAACTGTGATGTTGACTTGAATTTCTGAGAAGTTGCGTAGCCTTCTGTTTACTTTTCTGAGTACCTGAGTCAACAAAACCCCACATTTTTTCATGATATTGTAACATCTTGTTGTATTTCTTTCTATGTACCTTCCAACACCTGCCCACTGTAGGTAATTATTTTGTGTGACAGCCAAGGCATCTCCAAGTAAGGGCTTCTCAACAACCACTATTATACATTGTATTTCATTTGATTTTTTGAGATAGGTTCTCATATAGCCCAGGCTGGCTTCAAACTCACTATATGGGCAAGGGTGACCTTGAACTCCATTCTCTTGTTTCCACTTCCCAGGTGCTGGGATTGTAGGCATGTGGCACTATGTCAGCTCTGAAAGACTACTTTCAGCACTATCGGACTCATGAAGGAACAGGGAAAGACTGAAGTAGGGTCTCATTAATCAGAGATGCTGCTGTCCCAGCCAGCCAGACCAAACTGTATTTCTCAATTACGGTCTGGGAAAGAGAATATTTAACAACATAGAATTCGAGTTTAAAATTCTAAATCTTGAACTCTCTTCACAAGAAACACCTCAGCAGGAATGAAAAGAAAGTCTTGCAAACCTTTTAGTTACAGAACTCTGCTAATTAGATTTTTTTTCCTCCATGTAAAATTGTCTTCAATAAAAAAATTCAGGTGCTTGAATTTGGGGGGTGGTGTATCATTAACAACTTTATTATAAACATGGATAGAGAACCAAATGTTTGTGATTTCAGCATTTATGTGATGTATCCAATGTTAATAATCCGATTATCTTCTGTATAGTTGTTAATTATTCACCATCTAATATAGCGTACATGAGGTAAGAGCACAGGTGTTTTATGCTCTCTGTGTATTCTGATGCACCTGTGCTTCATGACAAACATGATTGCTTCATTCAGTAAAGTACCTGGGTGTCTGAGCCTGAAACATTTCAGGTGATACACTAAATGAATTTCCTAGGAGTTCTGGAAAACAGAATGAAAACCCATTCATTTAGCTAATATACATATAAAATTCAGTTTCAATAGAGACATACCTTTGGGATGGTAACACTGGTTATCTACCTGACCTGGAGTCTGTGCAAAATCCTGTGTGAGAAGAGAGAGCTGTATTTAGGCCAGTGTCCTGAATAGAACCGAGGCAGATGTAAATGTACTTCTGATTCACAAGACCACGCATGCATGAATTTTTGGAGTACAAATTCAACAGAAGAAAACGATGTTGCATAGTCCAGAGTCTTATAAATTTAAACCAAAGAGATGACTTAAATTTTCCGAAAAGAATATTACCAAAGACCATGTTGCTGCTTGCTTTGGAAACTACAACTTTATTTTATATACAACAAACCTAAAACTGAAGCCAAATTTACTATTTAAGCCCCACCCCCACAGTCTTATTATGTAGCCCTGACTGGCCTCAAACAGGCAATCTTCCGGCTTCAGCCTCCTGAAAGCTGGTATTATAGTGTGCCACTATGTCTGGCCAGAGTTTTAAGAAGTATGAATATAACAGCCCTTTTAGGTAATTCTGCATCTGGGCCTTAAAGTTTGGTGATTTTACTTTTTTTTTTTTTTTTGGTCTTTTTTGAGACAGGGTCTCCCTGTAGCCCAAGCTGTCCTGGAACTCACTATGTAGACCAGGCTAGCCTTGAACTCACAGAGATCCGCCTGCCTCTGCCTCCCAAGTGCTGGGATTAAAGGTGTGTACCACCACACTGGCGATTTTGCCTTTTTTTTTTTTAAAAAAATATTTTATTATTTTTATTTTATATGTATGAGCGTGTTGCCTGCATGTATGTGAGTGCATCTGTGTTGTGCAATGCCGCGGAGGTCAGAAGAGGGCTTTGGGTTCCCCTGGAACTGGAGTTAAGGACGGTTCATAGCCGCCATTTGGGTGTTGGGAATCGAACCCAGGTCTTCTGCAAGAGCAGTCAGTGTTCTTAACTGCTGAGCCATCTCTCCAGCCCCGATGATTTTACTTTTGTATGGAAGTTGAAAATAATGTAGCATATAAAGTATATTCTTCAGACAGACTATCAGTTCATTTTAATCCATTTCTAGTGATTAATAATAACCTAATACATGGGACAATGACACATTTATAAGCCAAAATAAAAAAAAATATTCATTCTCTTGAGCATAATTGTCTATAGAAAAATGATTTAACTTCACTTGTCTGATAATTCTATCCCAAAATAAGCAATATAAGTAATTTCTGTAGCATTTATAAAATTTGTGTGTTAAATATGGATGGCTTAGAATAGTTGTGATCAATAACACATACAATAGGAACTATATATGCCCTTTACTCTGATCTCATTTATAGTTTTGCCTTTTTAGAGTCTCACTATGTAACCCAGGCTGGCCTCACACTTGGTCCTCCTGCCTCAGTTTCCTGAGTGCTGTCACTTGTATCTTTGAAGTTGTTTTCAAAGAAACTGAGCTGGCACACATGCAAACTTAGTTGAGGCCTCTGCTTAGGCACACAAAGCAGCCCTGGCTCCTCTTCCCTTTCCCCTCAGCACTTACCACTACCTGTCATGCTATTTATTTTATCGGTTTTTGGTTGTTGTTTAATGAAAGGTCTTGGAGGTGTGAGTTTTTACATTTTATTTGTTGCTACCGTTTCAGCATCTAGAGCAGTACCATCGAAGATACACTCAGAAATTACCAGCTGAATGCAAGAATGAATAATCTGAATGAAAACAGATCAGTCTTAACATTCTTTAAAAAGCATTTTCTATTTAAATTAATCCCAAGGTTCTAAGAATATCTGAAGAACCCTGTGTTTGAAATGATGGTTAGACACGTTAAGATATTATTAAGATTTTAACTTAATTACAAGTTTCAAAGTCATACTTATAGATCTGCATACAAGACCCAAATGCATTTTCAGAAAACAGAACTGAGACTGAAATGTGACAACTGAGCCAAAAAGAAAATATTTCTGCTTATCGGTGACCTAGCTGTGATCATTAATTAATCCTCTAATAGAGAGGAATTCAGAAACTGTAAGCCACTAATTGTTGTCTACTATAAAGAAGGCTTGGACAAGTCCTTTGCTCTATGGCTCCCAGCCCACTGCACACCATCACAGTCTTGACAGAGAGTTCTGAATATAAGCCAGCACAGGCACAATCCTACACAGAACTCTGCTTTCTCTTTCACTATTATAAACAGGAAATATGATTTTTACAGTGGAACATTAGAAAGAAAATGGGACATTTTCATAAAGTAATCATCTACAAGGATATAGAAAAATCATAGTTTAGAACAGGCAACTTGATTTTTCTACTGTCAGCTGGCTGAGCTAATTTACATGTGGCATTACTACTTTGCCATAGCACTAATTCCGATTTCAGTCCTACAGAATTTAGTTGGATAAGGCAAATACAAGGCTGTACTTAAAAGGCTTAGATTTTTAAAAAAGCAAATAAGCTTTATCCCCCAATGTGCGTATGCAAATTAATTTAAAAATGTACAAATAAATCAAAGTTTTAGTTGATCTTTCTTCAGAAGTTATTATCCATCCTCTATAGTAAGACGAAAAAGCAGATAAATGTAATGGTTAAACCCTTAAAGAACTCTGGTAGCCCATTAAATACATTTCTTTTTTTTTTTTTTTTTTTTTTTTTTTTTTTTTTTTTTTTTTTTTAAAAAAGAGGTAGGGTCTCCCTGTAGCCCCTGCTGTCCTGGTACTCACTATGTAGACCAGGCTAGCCTTGGACTCACAGAGATACTCCAGCCTCTGCCTCTCAAGTGCTGGGACTAAAGGCACGTGCCACCAAGCCTGGCTTAAACATATTTCTTAAGTGTGGGTTTCCATTTCATTAATGGCAAAAGCATCCTTTCCTTGAAATCCTTCAGGTAGAAATGATATAACATTCCACCCTAGTTCTATTCATATGACTTAAGTACTTCAGAAATTAATTTTTAAAGCACAGGTGTGAGTGAAGATTTAAAGGTCGTGTGGAGGGCAAGCACCTAAAGCTGGTTCACACTTACTTCTCACAAGTCACATTAGTTTACACATTAAATCAGATAATCAGGCATCATGTAGATGGTACCTGAATGAACGTGGCCAGTAAAAGGCTGCTCATCTCCTGCTCCAGAATGATCTTGTTCTGACAGTTGTTGTAACAAGCGGCGATAAGTGAAGGGAACAGCACTTTGATCAGCCGTGGGTCACTGAAATACTGGAAGGGCAGCTGGCAGAGCTTCTGCAGCACCGTGGGGTGGCGGCCTGACTGCACAATTACCTAGGACAGAGAAGGATCTCAGTTAGCTGCCAAAGGCCCCGGCTTGCCCCTCACTGGGGCCACTGTTGGTCAGAAACACAGAGACCATGCCGAAATAGTGCAAGAAAAAGGAAGGCTCTTGGCTCCTTACCAGAACTTAATTTAAATGATATTTGAAAAGAGCCAAAAAAATTTTTAATCTCATTTCTCAATGTAAGGAAAAGATTCCAAAAGCTCTGTAGCCATTTAACAATGATTATAATCTATGTTGAAGGCCAAAGCTTCCATGTAGAAAGAATTCCTATGAGACAGATTCAGAATACAAAGGATTCTAGCAAAGCACTCCTCACACCCTGGAAGCAGTCTCCCTATTCCTTAAAACCTGCGAAGAGCTGCTCACAACAAAGTAAGATACTGTCTGCTATGGCCCTGCCCACCGCAGCCTTTAACTCAGCTTGCTGGATACATTGCATGAGCTAGATGGATTCCGTATGTAGGCCAGTCCTAGAAAGAAAAGGGGACTGATTGTAAGGGGAATGGAATGGTTCCAGCAAGTACAGGCTCTAAAGATCCTTCCTCCAATCCATACTCCTTATCTTTGTTTCCATCAGTGCCATTGAATCTAAAAGGAGAATTGTTTAGATAAATGAGACTGTTGTCTTGAAGCAGTCTAGGTTTACAACTGTGTACATTTTAAGAAATAGGGCAATGCAATTAATGGACTTGCAGGGAAGCCCTCCTAATTTACTCCCCAGGCCTACATGATAAACTAAGAAATGCCAAAATCAGATCTGTTTCGGATAACTTTGATTAGACAATTCTAATACGAAAGAGCTGGGTGACCCAAAGCCCACTTCGTAGTATAGGAAGAAGCTCTGAGAAGGTTAGGGACACTGTAAAACCTAAGGTCAGGGTTGTAAATTGTACTTGGAAAAACACAATTTTACAGGTACACACCCAGACAGGATGGCATTCAAATTAAAACCAGAAGGACAGAATGAAACGGCAGAGGCAAGAGAAACATAAATTATAGGGATTTACAAGTTTTCAAAGCACTTTTAACAATACTTTTAAGAACACATTCTCAGATGATAATGCAGTTTGGTTTAAGAACAAAATCAACATAGTAATAGTTCACATATTTTTGTTCAATAGCTAAAATGACATCAAAAACCTTTAGAGAATGTTGATAGGTTCTTGTTAATTCCTTCAAATCCAAAAGGAATTTTAAAGACTCAGTGTGTGACAATTCTGCACATGACTGTGTGCTGCCGTTGCCAACACTGACTGAGAAAATGTGCCCTATCACTGGCTTTATTGATAAAGCATTTACCTAAATCTTTGTTTTAATTATTAGCTATGTGTTCTGTAACATAGCCAAATGGTCACCACTTTAAAATTTATAACAATACCATTATTAGAAGTCTTTCTTTCCCTCTCTGGGTAAAAATTAAGAACAAGGTCCCCCCCCCCTTTGAGACTTCATTGTTAAAATGCCATTATTGGAAGATTCAGTAATTCAAAAGATATTAAAATGGGCCAATCTGGCTGGCACAGGGACAATGTTAACTCAGAGATGTCAGCTCCCAGTTCCTGGTAAATGAGCACAGAGCGTGGGATTGTTGGTGTAGGTACTGCACTCAGCCTCTTGAAGCAGTGTCCCCTAGGGGCTTGACTGCTCAGGGAACAGCTCTAATTATTCATTACCTGTTCATAGAGTGAGTTTATAGAGATCACCAGCAATGTAGTCAGGTGACCTGTCAGAGACAACTACTTACAGATCCTTGGAATGTAGAAAATGAAAACGGGTGCAGGCAGTTTGGTTACCTTGGGTGAAGGACTACAGGATCAGCTATGGAGGATCTAACCAGGTTATAAGTAAGAAGTCTGTAAGGCTGGTGAGACCCTTATCTACTATGGGCTTGGCTGTCAGAGTGGGACATTTCAGACATGGGAAGACAGCATCAAGAGGTCCAGAAAGAACCCAGACTTGGTTAGTGAATGCTTAGACCTACAATATGGTATTCTATTGGCCTTCCTGATGGAACTGCAACTAAGGAACTGTTTGTTCAGATAAAGCACCCAAATTCCAAGGTGAGCAGTATCCCAAGCCTGGTCAGGCCATCTGCCCCATCTTTCAGGGTACACAGTCTAACACAGGATTCCCACAGAGCCTCCTCTAGAGCACTGTACCGGTGAGATGGAGTAGCCTGGATGCATGGTTCCTTGGTGGCTACAGCCATCAGCTAGAGATAGCAAGTCAGGAGCAGGTATGGCCTTAATAATGACGAGAAACTGTCTTTGAAGTATGTTGTTCACTTTCAGATGCAGAATTGGGCTCTAAGAAAACGATGGGGATTCTAGCAGCATTTACAGTAAGAAGAGGCTGGGGAAGTGGCTCAGAGCTCTGGTAAAGGTGACTGCTGCCAAGAGTGACAACCTCAGTGGATCCCTGGAACCCACACAGTGGAAGAGAGATCCAGCTTCTCCAAGTTGTCCTCAGATATAGCCCCCCCATTGAATCAATAAATGTAATATATCAAGACACTGAGAGTGACCTTGGGTACAATTATAAAATAGGTACTAATCAGAGTAGGAGATCTGGGTGTTGGCCTCTACTCATCATTGAGCTGAGTAGCCCTTGGCAAACTGTTCAGTTGCTCTGGGCTTTGAGGTGGACAAATTTTTAAAGTAAAAATTTTTGAAGTATTACACACATGCACAATAACTGAACAGTTCAATCTTCACAAAGTGAGCAAGGAGTGTTACCATGCATCTCAATAAAGAAAGAATGGCCAAGAATGCTGACCTTTAAATATATTCTTTGTCATTGACATTTAGATTTTTACATTTTGAATTAGAGAAAGACAACATGGAAACTGACTACATCAGGACAAGGGGCACTTCAAGGCTTCCTTGGAGCCATTCTTGACCCTGCTCTGGGGGACAGGACCAGGGCAGCACATGCTCCTCTTTTGGTCTTCTAAGCAGAGGTCAGGCACAATTCTACAGTCTCCGAGGAAAGGCATCTTTATCCAAATGCCCTCGTGACCCACCGGTGTTTTCTTTAGTATCCTTGATTGAGGGGACACTGGAGGGAGGGAAAGAGAGAGCACTGTGATGACTACTCTTTTGGTACTAGCAATGATTCTGGATGCTGTAGCTTTAGAAAAAGAAAGCTGGATGGGTGTGCATGTCTTTAATCCTAGCATTCAGGAGGCAGATGCAGGTGTATCTCTGTGATATCAAGGTCAACCTGGTCTACATACTGAGTTCTGGGCCAACTGGGCCTACAAGGAGACCCTGTCTCAAAACAAAACAAAACAAAATAAAACAAAACAAAACAAAACTACAAAACAAAAAAAAAAGTAAAGGAAGCTGAATCCTGGCAATGGGTAGAGGGGGCCAGGAAGATATGGATGCTAGAAAAAAAAGGACTACAGGTAAGGGAATGGGGAGCATGTTGGTGGTGTGTGTGATCTAAAATAGAATAGACAAATGGACTTGGTGGCTCCTTAATTTGCTGCCGATCCTGACTACCCACTAAGGCTTTGGCATCAACCAGAGCTAACTGTATCAGACTTTCACTGTATGTTTCCTATACCAAGAGATGTGCTAATACCACAGGGACAAAAGAGAACAAAGTCATTCTCCCAACAAACAAGTGAAGACACAATAGGCTGGGGGAAGCAGGCTTTGGTTTTCAGGGAGATGAGGTCTATACACCAGTAATATGAGGAGCCTGGGAAGGACCAGGCACTGTAGGAGGAGAGGTTCTTCCTTGCCTGGGTAACTGTGGGAAGCTGCACTAAGAGGGTGGATTAGATCTGGAAGATTGGATCAGACCCAGGCACTTGGAAATTGTAGGTGAAGGAATTTTTGGTGGAGAAACGAAACTCACAGATTCAAATCAGACTGTCTTAGTTGGCCACTGCAAAATACCATAGACTGGAGGGACATAAACAACAGACAGCTATTTCCTAACCTCTGACAGCTGGAAGTCTGAGGTCAGGGTACCAGCATGGTCAGGCTCTCTCTGGCTGCCTAGTTGTGTGCTCACATAGCCTTTCCTTGGCTTAGTGCATATAACAACAGGAATATCTCTATTACTATTATATTAAGATCCCTAATTCATTTCACCCAGAGTAATATTTCATTAGAAAGGCCACCACTGCTCATGTGCTGCAGAGGTGAGTTGCTTTCCCTGGGCCATATGACAGGCATGGTTCAGGCTCAAGAGTGCTGGCCTGGGGTTGGAGAGATGCTTCAATGGTTAAAGGTGAAAATTGCTCTTTTAGAGGACCTTAGCTCAATTCCTAGTACCCATGTCAGGTGGCTTGCAACTGCCTGTAACCTGAACTCCAGGAGTTGCATTCACTTATATGTAGACACCCACACCCCCAATTTAAAAAAAAAAACAAAAACACTGGCCTGAGATAGCCATGGGTTCTAGTTTGGCTCTGCTCATGACTAAATTCAATCACTTAGGTAATTTGAGGTTTAGGGTCCTTTCTATGAAATGGTTACACAGATGGAAGCCTTCAAGGTTAAGATGTGGTCACAATGAAACAGTGAACTGTGTCTATGACCACAAAGCACAAAATGTTAGTTAGGAATTTCTGGTTCTGCCATTCTCAGTCTTCTGCTGGATCAGGACCAGAGTTCCCTCCCAGCCTAATAAATGCTTTCTAACATCCTATCCCCATTTCTTTAGAGCAGAAGGGCTGGCAGAGGCAGGCTTTGAGTCATCAACAAGCTTCATGTCACCTGAGCGGCCACTGTTGAGGTTGCTCCCTGGCCCTGCCTACACAGGACAGCTATGCAAACAGTGCTGGGGATGCCAGCCAGGATCTTGTGGTGGTAAAGTAGGAAATGCATTCTGACAGTTTTGAAAAGAAAATTCTTGCATAAACATGATCCAAGAAACACAGGTAAATGTATGGCACAGACACACAGGGGCTTAGCTTAGTGCCCCCACCCCCCGTGTGTGTACGTATGTACGTGAATACATGCATTTGAAG